GGGATTTGTTAAAGTTTTATGATGTCTTGTGATGGCTGACTTCTTAATTTCTTACCAACTAATTATTCAGCATGTAACATAAGTTATTGTAGAGATTTTTTTTCTTCTTTTCTTAAAGGAATGGCCACAGGCTATTATAAGATTCTCCAGTCACTCCTAATATGCTTAACAATACGAGCACCATCTCCTTAAAGCTAACTGTGCCGGAGGGGATTTGAACCACCGTCTTGAGGGGTCTTACACAGAGGATGTCATGCAACAGACTAAGGCATGCAACACAAGTTATTGTAGAGATTAAAGGTCAAATAATTATAAATATTGGTTGATAATTTGTAGAGAAGAAGCTAATGGTTGATTATGCTCTTAATTCTTCTTTGATTTTAATTTAGGTTTTCATATTGGGGGGGTTCAGTTTTAATGTAATTAAATAAAAATTAGAGAGGTGTATCTTTTTTTTTTTTTGAGAAATTTACAAACATACCTCGCAATTCTTACGCATTTACATATCTAACAGCTAAATTTTGATATTTACATTACAAAACATTTGCGTCATGAAAAAGTGTATTTAGCTTTTATAAAAATAGTGATGATAATAATTTTGAAATGATGTCAAATATTTGTGTGTTATGTAAGCAAATATGAAAATTTTGGGGTTTGAGATGTAAATATATAAAAAATGTGCCATTTTTTATGTAAAATTCCATACCCAACTTTTGATGTAAGCAAATGGAAATTCTCCAACTAACAATCAATAGATTACTTGGGGTGAGAATTTTGCAAGAAAAACAAGTAATTTTAAATATTTAGGGAGTTTGCAAAGTTTTGTTTGTGTGATTTGGCTTATTGTGTAATAAACAATAATTGTTATAAAAGTTATGTGTATGTCTTGTTGAGAAGTTAGGAGGAAGAAAAACAAGAATCAACACAAATTCAAAAGAACGCACAGAGATTTACGAGGTTCGACAAAGATGCCTACAATCATAAGAAACTGCAGGCTGACACCACAAGGATTGTTCAGTCGGAAATTTTTTGTTACTATAAAAACATATAAAATAAAAGATTTATAATTAATTACAAAAATAGACTTTCATTATATTTTTTCTTATATATATATATATATATAGACACGCACGCACGCACGCACGCATATACACACAAATTAAGTGATATGCATGTAAATCTTCCATATCCATAAAGAAAAAACTAGTTGTGTGATTTGGCTTATTGTGTAATAAACAATAATCGTTATAAAAGTTATGCGTATGTCTTGTTGAGAAATTAGAGCGAAGAAAAATAGGAATAAACACAAATCTAAAAGAACACACAGAGATTTACGAGGTTCGGCAAAGATGCATACAATCATAAGAAACTGCAAGCTGGCACCACAAAAATTATTCAATCAGAAGTTTTTTGTTAATATAAAAATACATAAAATAAAAGATTTATAATTAATTACAAAAATAGACTTTCATTATATTTTTCTTACACATATAGAGACAAATTAAGTGATATGCATGTAAATCTTCCATATACATAAAGAAAAAAACTAACATACCATATAATTCTAACATATTTATATAACTAACAACTAAAATTTGATAATTACACTTATACCACTTTGATGCCACAAATCTATGCACTTAAAAGTATATTTCACATTTAAAAATTAATTATGATGACATTGTTTATGTCTGTTAAAGATTTATGTTGTATGCATATAAATATAAAAATTTGGGTGTTAGATAATGCATTTGAGAATTGTGGTATGTATATATTGTTTTTCTACAAAGATGAAGGACAACATGTGTCTATCCACCCCATATATGTTAATTCGACCCAGATGGATTCAAACCAAGAACCTAGAGGACCGCCAAAATTGTCAACCAACATGCCTCTACCAACAGACCACTAGTTGCACCCTATATATATATATATTAAAGGAACGACCAGATGCTATTATACGAGCCTCTAACCACCTCTAATATGCCTAACAATTCAAGTACCGCCTCCTTAAGACCAACTGTGCTAGAGGGAATTTGAACCCCCAAACTGAGGGGTCTTCTACCGTGGATGCCAACCACCAGGTCGGGGTACACGACACAACATACATACATATGTCTGCTTGCACCTACATACATACATATGCGTGCACACACATTCATACATACATACATACATATATGTGTGTGTGTGTGTGTAAATGTGAAAACCAAACCATTCATACAAGATAAACGCTCTAACTAAAATTATTTACATATAAATGTTTCTTCTTACGAGGAAATCTCATAAATGTTGTAATACACAAATATACATAGCATAACATAAAACCATCATTTATAAGTGAATCAATCCAAAAGCCCTGAACCCAATACACAAATATGCATTTCAGAGACTTCAAAGTTCGTGCAAAGGAACCCTAAAACAGTTCCTTTTTTTTTTCCATGTAAATGAGCAACAAATTCTCATAATCTTCACTTTCACTATACACTATCCATTCCAGACAAAACGTAATTGCATTACATTCACCAATACTAATGAAGTTGCAACTTACAGCAGATTCATTTGGCAGCTCTGCAAACATCATTTCTTACAAGTGGCAACTCCTACAACAACATTACTCACCTACAAGAAGAAAAAATATTGTGATATTTACAGAAATACCATAAATTTCATGTATATTTACATATCTAATATCCAATGCTTTATATTTATTTAATTAACACAAAAAAACACACCTTTTCATATATATATATATATATAAAGGAATGGCTAGAGGCTATTATACGAGGCTCCAGCCACCCCTAATGTACCGAACAATTCGAGTCCCACCTCCTTAAGACCAACCGTGTCAGAGGGGATTCGAACCCCCAACTTGAGGGGACTCAAATTGTGGATGCCAACCAATAGATCGGGGTACGCCGCCCACATTTTCATCTATATATTTTGATGAGATATATACATTCTAGTCATAGATAAATAAAGATAACATATTTAGGCGTGTTATCACATTAGATATGTAAATACTTAAAAATTCTGTAATGTATATATATATATATATATATATATAATGAGATTTACATACATACCAATAAATCTTACTATTTACATATCTAACATTTAAGCTTTGATATCAACTTACAATAACACTTTAGTATATCATAATCACTTCAATACATCAAAATATTAAAACAAGAGATGTATTTGCACTGTTGTTAAATATTTTAGTGTTTTATAAGTAAATACTAAAAGTTTAGACATTAGAAATATAGACACCTAAGAAGTTCTAATGGGTATGTATGTAAATCTTCCAAATGTATAATAACAATGAGCATATTGAATCATATTTACCAATTTGCCATTTTCATCCACTGACATTGGGTTCTCAACAACAACCGTCACACTGTTACTCTGCTTGCGAGCCTGCAACATAGCACATAAAAATTAAGAGAAATGATATAAGCTGGTTGATTTTGTAGTTATAGAAAAAGTTGGAATGAGCATACAGCTGAAGCTGTGACTGATGTGGTTGAGGGAGGCAAGGGAGTGGGAGGTCTAATAGTACTCATCTGCAAATATATAAATGAAAATTAAATTTGAATAGAGGAGAAAGATGTAAAATAATAAAAGGAAGATTTACATACATACTACATACCACTCAATTCCTATGCATACCACTCAATTCCTATGCATTTACATATCTTACATCAAAATTTTAATTTTTACATATAGACCATCTCACCTATGTATGAAAATGTGTATTTCACGTTTTAGAAGTTAAAATAATAGTATTTTTGATGTGATATGAAAGGTCTGAGTGTTAAATATGTTAGAAGTAAAATTTCAAAGTTAGACATGAAAATACATAAAAATTGGGTGGTATGTATGTAAATGCCGCCAAAAATAAAATTGCTGGCATACCCCGACATTGGTGATATAGCGGCATACTGCACATTTGACAGAAGGAGCTCCATAAGGATACATTAGAGTTGTCCGGCAATGACCACAACTCAATTGAGCAACCTGGTTGGCTATTTACAAGCAAATAAAAAAAAAAAAATGTTAGCATTTGATTTTAAAGATTAAGCAGATGGTTTTGTAATTCTGCTCATTCCTTTAGAGAAAATAACTTAAGAAAAAAAAGTTTTAAATAAAGAGTATAGATAATAATCTTCTTTAAAGGTTTAATTTGTAGATGACTCCAATGTCAATGATTTGATAGAAGTCTCAAATCTACTCTATATATGCAAAAAATGCATTAAATGCAATAGATATCTGCCAATTTTTAAATTTTTCATAAAATTCCTATATAGTTACATATCTAACATCTAAACTTTCATATTTGTGTGCTAGGTAAGTAAATTTCTCTTTTTTCATTCTAAATGTAAGAAGTCATTGGTTATAAATGGGTTTACTCTATAGAGCTTCACTCTAATGATACCCGACATTGCTACAAAGGACATTTATTTGTCTTTGGTAAAGTGCAAGCATTGGGTTGATTATAAAGAAATGTTTTTTTATTAAAACTATAAGGACGATATTAAAAATGATTATCTCAATTATTGCTTTACGAGGATGGCCACTCCGCAAGGCAGCCATTAAAACTTTCTTCCGTCAAGGTTATCTCAAGGAGGAGATCAACAAGGTTCTTCGACCCGACGCAATTCCGCCTCCTCTTTCAAATTTATGAAAACTAAAGCACCCTCTAAATGCTTTGAAATAGGCCACCTAAGCATGATTCAAAAAATTTAGGCCAAAACTACATTCTTCTTTCAAATAAAGACAAAAAAACTCAACATTACTTCTTTGCAAGACATCCAATGGCTTTGTAAGACATCTAGTGGCATTGCAATTTTCATAATTTATTATTATTGGGGGAAAATTAGATCAAATAAGTCATCTACAATATTATTAGGCCGCTAAAATGCTTCCTTCGTAGAGCTCCAATAGCAATAAACATAAACATAAAGTATCATAGTGTGATGCCATTATATTTCAATAATTAGTAGGATACTTAAATTATTTCACAATTTCTCAACTTTATATTTCCTTAGTCATGAAATAACTTAGTCAATTATGTAAATAACTCCTCATTTAATTTAATCATCATTCGTCGAATCATTTGACATCTTATTGATAATAAGACGTGTTTTCACTAGGATGAGAACCCCCAAGTGAAAGCAAGCAATTTTGGGCCAGCAAATCTTCTATCATTCCTTTGTATAAATTTGAATGAGAAAATCACTAATCAACCAAATATGCATTAAATATCATAAAAGCCCACTTCTTAGCAAAGATTTTGATTGATAAAATCACGAGCATTATTTTATCTAATCCATATTGATTTTTTTTATTAGAACCCCTAAGTGAAAGCAAGCAATTTTGCACAACAAATCGTCTACTAATCTACACTTCAACGACACCAATCATATCACCTGATAATTGCCTTTTCTATAATTTGACATTGCAACTAATGACCAATGCTTAAAAAAAATTAGTATGAAAGAATCAAAATACAAGCATATCTAATCCTCAATTAATATTACCATGAACATAACAAATCGACTTCAAGTTGGCTCATGTTCAAAATTGATTTCATTTTGCCCTAGATCAGATCAAAGAAGCTTAATTTTAACAATAACTAATGTTCATCATTAAGAATTACTAGCATGCATAATACATATATATATATATATATATATATATATAGAGCATAACACAAATAAACTCAACCTTATAGTAGCTCAGCTAGAAATTGGCTTGAAAATTGGTAGCGAAAACTTTGGCATGTCGAGAATTAGTTTAGCTTCGTTTGAGCTCAGTTTGTTCAAAATATAATTCAATCTTTAAGTAAAGTCTCAACACTATAAATAGCAGTGAAAACAAAATGAGTCAAGTTGATCCAATTAGAGCTCAAAATTGTCCCCAACATATATATGTTGGCTTAAAATTAACTCATAGCTTGACCCAACTCAATAGTAGGTCACTGTGTGTGTGAACTACTGATATTTTGGCTTATCTCAAATCGTGTCAATTTTATTTCAGCCCAACTTAAATATTAGACTGAGGTAAAAATTAGCTTGTGGCTTAGCTTGATCTTACTTTGATATCTAAGCTTTACATATAATTATTTTTACTTGATTCAAGCTTGATCCAAAGCAAAAATCAATTCAATTTTGAACGTTCTCATAAGCCAAAATCTCAGCTTCATAGAATTACAAATATCCATTCACTCGTGATATCTAAGCTTTACATATAATTATATAGATGTTAAACTATGAAAGTATAAATCTCACACATCAACAAATTAAAAAAAAAAAAAACTCCATAACGTCATATAACCAAAGGAAAGCCCATATATAGTAGAATGCTGTGAAAATTAGAGAGTAAGAGGCTATTTGTTTAGTTGATGTTATATAATACCATGTCATTAGTACATATCAACTACTTGTTCACTAACATCTTTAAATAATGATTTCCTAACTACTAATTATATCCTATCGCATTTTAAAAGCCATCTACATGTTCGAGAAATTTATTGACATTTGTGTGTCAAACTAACAAACTAAAAAAATTACTCTTGTTTGGGAGGAAATATTCAGTGTGTTATATGTACCAAATCTTGGCCCCTTTAAATAGCATACATAAAGTATATTTTTCAAATGTACACTTTTCCTAATATTACTTTTTTGGAAGATTCACATACATACCATTCCATTCTTATGTACTTGCATATCTAACACCTAAATTTCAATTTTTACAGATATACCACCTTACCTATGCATGAAAAGATGTATTACACTTTTAAAAAGTAAAACATTGGCTGGTATAAATGTAAAAAAGTAAAGTTTAGGTGTTATATATGTAAATAAATAGGAATTGGGTGGTATGTGCGTAAATGCCCCTACTTTTTTAACATACCAATACTTCGTCTCAATCTAGAGCATATATAAATGATAACTCTGGATTCTTTCATGAACAAGGAAACATCTCCTAGGAACTTAGTAAAGATATAATATGTCACTTATTCAAAAATGGAAAGTGAAAAGAAAGGGAATAATAATATTTTTGGAAAGCACAACATACAAATTGAAATTACAAACAACTTCAATGTATTTAGTTTATTTATACAACACAAAATTTACTACAATATAGATGACGGTACAGTTTGTATTTAGCCTTTGCATTGGAACTAATAATAATAGTTTGCTCCTTACTTTTCAGGAGCCGGATGATCTCCAGCAAAAATATAATATTCCAAGGAGACTTCCTTAACTAAAGCTAGCATATTCAATATCAAAGAATGCTTCAATATTTAAATTTAGGATTTTAGCATACAAATACCCTTTTTCCAAAAGATTTATTGATATACCTAAGAATTCACATGAAAGTTTTCCAATACTTTTGTTTAGGACTTTGTATATGAAAGCTAATAAAAACCATGTAGCAACTATATAAATCAACTTGGCAACCAACCTTCAAAATTGAGACAAGTTAACAAATAGTTCTTCATAATCAAATGTGGTCTGAAACTCCATAGGAGTATTCCAAGCTTACAATCAAATAGATAATTTTCTTTGGGAAGATTAATAGCATACTTTCTTTAAAATGGCAAACCCCCATTTTAAAAGCAAGAAAATTAAAAAATAGCAAAATACTTGGGTTGTTCAAGGCGTTTAGTGATAGAACACATTTGCAAATAGTGATTTACCTTAGAGATGTCATTATAATCGCTACCAATGAAAAATATGCATCCACATAAACGTGCATGACAAAGCATGACTTATGTTCGACAAATAAAAATGATATGTAGCTCTCTACTACGACCACTTTCAACAAATATTATGTAAAATTTATCACATCAAGCTAATAGACAACTTTTAAGGTTATAGATAGCCTTCCTAAGTAAACATACACGTTCCTTCTCTTGAACAACATACTCAGAAGGTTGCTCTGCAAAACAACCAACTGAAGTTCATCATAAGAGAAAACACTAATCACATTCATTATTATGGAGATCAAGCTTGATTAATGCCTGCTAAAATAAAAATTCAAAGAGTTAAATCTAGGAAAAAGGAAGAATGTATCAAAATAGTCTGTGTCATAAACCAAAGTGAATCATTTGGCAACTAACCAAGCTTTATATCAATTGATAGAAACATCAGGATGAAATTTATCCGTGAAAAACCAATAGCAATTAATGGTATTAACCTCAGAAGGACAGTAAACCAAATCCACGGTATACTGACTACTACCCATCTAAGAATCCATAGCTTTTTTCAAAGAGAGATTCTTAACTAATTATTATCAAGTGCCAGGAATAGAGATAGAGGATAAAGAAAGGGAAAATTTTTTAGAAAAAAGAATAAATGATTAGATTCCATATCAGAGTAAAAAGGATAAACATTACAATATATTTTATCATTTTGTAGGGCGTTTCAAGTAAATGAGAAAGATTCAGCAAATGAATACTCGATTGAATCATAAATTGTACATTAAGTGTTGCTATAAAAGGAGGTTGAAGGTAACTCTAAGGAGGCAGAAAAAATTGTGATCTCATAAAAAATAACATTGACGAAAGTATATATCTGGTAAAACCATTACTTCTATCTCCTATGCTGCAGTTTTGGGTGTGAACAAGCACTTGTTCAGCAAGTTGAAAAAAACTCAAGGTTCACCCGCGTGAAAACTTTTCTGGTGACGAATTGCTATTGATGCAATACCAACCAACTGTTGGCTGTTAAAGAGGGGGCTTACGGATGGCAGATGCTGCCAGTGGAGCTGTAATGTGTTCGAGGACACAAATCATATAACTTCAATATGCAAAGTACTTCTGGCTACCAAACAGAAATTACTGCTGCAGTGGGGAATTTCCATTCCAGATTTTGGAAATGCTCAGGAGGTTCTCCAGGTTCTCTCCAAACCCACGGATGATTCGATTGGTTTTATTTCTTTATATTATCAATGTTAAGCGTGACCTCCACAAATAAATCAAAGCAATAGGAGACTGTTACTAAACGCTTTTTGGTTCCCCTCTTCTTCCTTCTTATTCAGGTGGCATCGGCATTGTTATTCGGGACAAAATTGTTGATCTGATTCTTGCGACAGGTCGACCCATTGAGCATTGGGATTCAGCCAACGTGGAACTTGCTGCTATTTCTTCTATTTGTCATTACCTTGAGCCATGGATGCTTGATGTGATAGGATTATTATTGCAAGCAAAAATATCAATATTATATCAGCTCTTCAACAAGCAAAGGATACCAACACTTGAAGATACAACTGCAAGGTTTGGTGGACTTGTCTTTTTTGTCATCCTTCAAACAAATCTTATTCCAACATATAGATAAATAAAAAAATATAGTTGCCCATACTTGTGCTCAAAATGCTACGTTTGATGGGTTTTTTGTTAGGAATGTGGATAGTTCACACTTTCTTTTTTATTCCATCCCTTTTGAGCCTGCCCATATTTTGTAGGGCCTGGCCCATTTTATACTATTTTGTAATTTTTTTGATCTATTAATGCAATATGCACATTTCAAGGATAAGAAGATCAGTAAAATGACATCCTTTTATGTGCAAGAATGCCAAAATAATATGTACCGAATGGGACAAGGAGAAAGCTTTTCTGATTATCAAAAGACTAAACAAAATATCCATGTTGGTAGAGTAAACAAAAGTTGGACAAGAATCAAAAGAGAGGTAGATGAAGAGATAGCAAGCTGTCAATATTGCATCTCCTCAAAATTGTCAACGAACATTCGAATGGAACATTAAGGTTCAAGCAAGATCAAACAGAGAGCAATTTATGCAATCAAACACACCATTCTGTCTAGACAATATATGAGCAAAGTTTTCATGAACTATACAACTATTGAAACAAAAGTTTATGAAATTGAGATTGTATAAATTTCAAAGCATTATCAATGTGTAAAATTTTAATTAAGATACAGAATTGCACTTCAATTTCTTTGATGAAATGTTGAAAAATATGTGCAACTTCTGACCAACATTTGACAAGTAATACTAAAATAATCATCAATGTGAGTGACAAAATACTAGAATCCCAAGTTATGAGAACAGGATATAGGCCCTAAATGCATGAAAGGAGAAACCAAAAAGAAGATGTTGAGTACTAGTAAAAAGGGAAGGAACATAAATACATTGGTATTACCCAATTTTTAGGCAGGAAATTCACACTAATAGAGTGAAAAAATAATAATAATAATAATAATTTGAAAGTCTATCTGAAGAAGATGACAAAATTAACAATCCCAATAATATGAAGTATTAGATGAAAAGATGGTGAAAAGAGCATCAATTGTTCGTATTAGATACTTATAACTTTTAACACTACCAATTATCTTCCTTAAGCAAAGATGCTAAAAAATATAATGAAAAGGATAAAATGTAGCTGAACAATTATGAATCTTAAAAATATTTTAAATAGACAAACAATTGACAGCAAAAGACATGTAGAACTTCTAAAAGAAAAGAGAACCATAAGCAACAATGATAGGTGATAGATAGGATATATGCAGAGATTAGGATAAACCATGACATGAGATAAGGCACCTAACTTGAAAACCCATGACACGGAGGTCAAAATAGCTATAATAAAAGAGAAAACATAACAGATAGCGATTTTTATGATTGTGGAGTTTCATATAGCTATAGTGAAAGAGAAAGCACAGGAGATGGTTATTTTTATGATAGTTGAAGTAGTTAGCTTGCCTTCCAAAGAAATAAAATTTGTCTTGAAAGAGTAGGAACCAAAGGGGAAAGGAAGAGTCAAATTAATGTGAAAACATCCCAAATAGTGGAGGGGTAAACATATTTCTCCCAACAACGTTCAGGAGGATAAGAAATGAGGCCGCAATGAGGGCAAGGGAAAAAAGTATTACAATCATGACCACCATTACTCTGCTAAAATGACGATGATTGCCCTTACCACCTGTAAAGATAGCTACCAAATATGATTGACACAAAGAACTTTAGATGAATCAAATAAAATATTAGCTACCATGGAGTCACCAACTAAATAAAATTATACACCTTACAATGAAGAGTGCAAACTGGAGATAAATTTGGTAAAAAAATTCTTCATTTCGTTTTTTGCCAAACAATCAAGTTAATCGTGAAGGAATGTTTGTAGTAACACACTACTTTCCTTGCAAAGGACGATAGTATTTTTGGAGGTCCTTTATCACTTTATTGATCTTATAATATAGATTTTAAGCAACAGAGATCACATTCTAAAAGTTGGTTTAACAAAGAAAGCCCCACATCTTAGATATGCGAGCTACAAAAATTCAAGCTTGGCTCTCATGAAAGAGTACGTTCCAAGTCAAATTTTTATAAGGCAGTTTAGATTTTAGATAAGATGCTATCCATAAATTTCACCCTCATTTTGCACAAAAAAAAAATTTCTGGCTCCAAGTTTTGTATGAGCGTATACCCCTATGGTTGATTATCTCTCCTAATAACTAAAAAAAACTTCCAATTAGAGCTAGTTGTTAGACTTTTTAAGAGAAAAACTTATAGTAGAAGCAATTTAAAATTTAAATTAAATAAGTTTACCACATTTAGCTGGGAATGGATGATGCGAGGAATGATCCGAGCAAGTAAAACAACGTCGAAGAAGTCTTTGGATAACATGATTTGAGCAAAATTTAATTTAAATCAGTAAGTCTCATCAATTTTCTTCTCCTTCATTTTCTTGGTCCTGCCAACATCTTCCACAGCGAGTGGCAATCACGTGTTCTTCAATTCTTCAATGCCAAGGGTTTCAAGAACTTAAGCATGAATAGAAGGAGACATAGGAGAGATGAGAGAGGGGGAGGGGAACACGAGCAAGCATACGTAAGAAAAAAAATAATACAAGCAAGTGGGCAGATGTATCATAAATTTACCTTTTATTTTCTCTCTTTTTAGTCAAAGACACAAGAGATTGAAACTCATGCGGCAACATTGGCACGAGATAGATCACACATGACAATAGTCATAGGCGCGCATAGTAACTTAAGAAATATGTAATTTCATACTCACACTTAGGAAACTTGATGGTGTCACTACTTTTAGAAAAAAAATCATCATGATGCAGTTAATGTAAGAAGCAATAAGAAAATGGCCACAACCATAGAAGAGTTGGCAAACTAAAATTTAATTATGAACTCATGTTAGAGGGTTTCATCTAAATATTAAGAGAGATAGAAGCCATGACACTATTAAAAGAGAAATAGAGAGACTAAGAGGAAAATTAGATGCAGGCATGGAAAGATCAGACCCCAAGTAAGATGGGGCTGTTCCGTGAAGCGAAGGCAAGATGCAAGATTAGATGCAGGCATTGAACAAAGCTAGAAGAGGGAGAAAGACCGAAAGGTAAAATAGACAGAGAAAGGAGAAGTTTAGGTAGGTGAAATCGGATAGGGAATAGTGGTGCTCGGATACCTTTTTGAGTGGGAATAATTTAGTAGCATTTCGAATATCAATGTACACAAATAGGCATTCATGAACAATACAACCTACAAATACAGTTTTTTCTAATTGTAATTTCTTAATATGTCATCAAATAAAATTTTAAAATCACCATTGATATTTCTAGATAACATTAGATTATTAACATAACATTTAACCAAACATACTTAATTTGATAGATTCATTGAGTGAAAAATATTGTTATCTACATGATAGTGTTAGCTAAAGAATATTCAACCAAACAACTCCTGAGTCTCATATGGACAAACATGGAAGATTATTTTTTCTACTGTGAACATAAAATATAAAGTTTAACATGCATTGTCGTCAAATAACAGTCAACACGGTCAATATTAGCATACAAATAGCTAGTATTGATACCAATAAATCCTTTATTGCAACATTTAAATATTCAAACATAACAAAATACCTGCTCTTGCGACATTTATCGTGTTACAGCAGGAGCACCTTACAGTAGATGCACCACGAGCATACATCAACAAAATTTGACACCCTCCACATATTATCTGAGCCCTATCTGCAAATTCAAAATTGTAGAGAAGCATATAAGTTGCTAAACTCCTTATCCATTTTAAAATTTGTAGAGAAGAAAACAATATTTTTCTTGCACTTTAAAATGTAAAGCAAACAAAAGACATGAACTAGTTACAGTTGATAGGAAATTGTTTGCCCAATTGTATGGCTCAATACTTTAAAAACAGGTTAGCGATGAGCCAAGGCAATTATCATAGCAGGCTATATATAGAGTACTGGTTTTGCCCTAACCTACCATTAGGAATAAAGTCAAGCACAAATCATACTCTAGTATTCAAGAAATTGAAAAATAATAATAATAATAATCTACAAATTCATCTCAGCACATATAACAATTCGTTTTATGGTTTCCCCTTTAGGCTCTCTTTTCTAATCATTTTTATTTATTCTGCAAATTTGCATGAAAAGTTGCAACCCACGGTAAATTTGTTTAATCCAAGTCAAGCTAGGGTTCTTATCCCTTGCAGAAGCTACTAAATTGTTGATTCAGGTACCAAACATAAAATAAGAAATAAAGAACTAAATCTTAAATGTTTATCAGATGACGAATTCAAACGTTTAGACATATCTAGTTATAAATTAAAAAAGGATATACAGTATTTTGGGGATGGAAAATTAACTGGTGCTTCAGATGGAATGCGCTAATAAATTAAATTATGGTGAAAAATAATCAAGATTAGGAAGAACACCCTATAAGTGATAAGCTAACTCAATTTTTTGCAAGGAATATTGACGGAGGCTGTGTTAGAATTTAAGACTTTTTATGCAGACCAACACTCAATGTAAAAAACAATGGCACAGGCCATTAATCATAAACCATTTTCACCACCTTACTAGAACACCCCTAATTCATTTGTAATAGAAATTAAAGATCAAAAAAGCCATACAAAATTTCATGCAATCCAAAGAAACTTAGAAATGGAGCGAACCCAACAAGATAAAAAAAAAATCATAAAAGAAGAAGAGGAGAAGAAAATGAGGAAAAGAGGAAAAAGTTCATTAACAAAATAAGCCTTAACAATTGTACCAGGAGAAAGCCTTCAAAATAAAATTTTAAGTTTCACACTTGATTAAAAAATGAAATCCAAGACGAAAATTTTGCACCTCAAAATATAAATTTTACTTGACATCAATGATTTTTGTACATTCTTTAGATGCCTGTGTATAAAAAACAAAGTAACTCCAAATATAGCCTCCATTGACAAGAATCGTAGTAAGAAACTTCTTTAGAAGCTAGTGGAAGTCAATAATGGAAGAAGCAAACCACATAAGATTAATATGATTTCTTGAAAATTTTACAAAGATACATTAAATGGGCTAAAGGGGGAAAAAAGAAGAATCTAGGACATCAGTTAATGTTTAATGGTATATAAACAAATCCGGTAATTAAAATTTAGACTAATATTAGAATAATTGAAGAATTTTGAACATGAATACCTTGTTCCTATTCATTATATAACTTTATAATAATCTTGTCATTTTAAAAGTTAATTTCTTAAGGGTTCCTAAAGTAAACCACTAAGGATGTAGGTGAACTATTACTTATCCCCTTCATTGAATTTCACATACATTTCATTAAAATTTTGTGTAGACTTATAATCAATATAGTTATAAAAAATGCTAACAAAAATATTTTTCTGCAAATTAGGATATGATTAATGAACAAGATGTATGAAGGCTATAATGCATGCAGAGGTAATAGAAAGTTTCTTATATGCTATCTAATCGATGCAATATATCTAATTCTAAAAGGGGCTAAAGATGAAGAAAACTTAAAATGTATTTTTATGAGATTCCATAAGGTTTATTTCAGATAACCAGTAAAAATTACACAAATACTTCCTACTTAAAGAAAAAATACACAATTGAATTAGAAATTGAACATAATGAATCATATACCTCTGCAATCAACTAGAAAAAGTGAAAATTTAATATTCATACTTTCTTTAAAATCATTGTGATTAATAAATCCATAGATATGCAAATGTAGCTTGACTTTCATTATTAAATTGTTATGAAAATTTAAATTAAGAATATTATTAAAAAATAAAATCAATATAAGTTTAATGAGAAAAAATAAGGTTAACTTTAGTAATAGTATTTATTACATAATTGAAATTAATTAATCTTCATTTAATTAGCTAAGAGGCTAATAAAGTTAAAAAAATCCTAACTATAATAACTAAATATTTCCTAAATAACTAAAAACAATTTTAAGTTAATTAAGGTTTTGATTATCAAAGATGCCCAGGAGTGGAGGAAGAGCATTTTAGTCCCCATTTTTAAGAATAAAGGGGGTGCACAAAAGTGCGCAAATTATCGAGGAATTAAATTAGTGTGTTATACATTAATATTATGAGAAAGAGTAATTGAACATAGGTTAAGACGTGAAATAAATATTTCTCATAACCAGTTTAGATTTATGTCAGGCAAGTCTACTGTGGAAGCTATACATTTATTGAGAGGTTTGATGGAGAAATACAAAAAGAGTAAGGGGGATCTACATATGATTTGTATTGATTTAGAAAAAGCTTACGAAAAGGTTCCAAAAAAAGTTCTTTGGAGAGTTCTAGAAAAGAAAGTGTCGATATGACTTATAATCAAATCATTAAAGACATGTATACAAGAGATGTTACTTGTGTTTGAACAGAAGGAAGATGGCCAAGTATTTTTCTATTTCAGTTGAATTAAATCAGAGATCCGCTTTGAGCCAATATATTTTTGCTTTAGTTATGGATGCTCATACTAGACATTTACAAAAGGATGTATCTTGGTATATGCTTTTCACTGATGAAATCCTTCTTATGGATAAGACTAGAGAAACAGTTTAGGAAAAACTTGAATTATGGAGGTATACATTTGTTTTGGTAGATCTAAAACTGAATACATGGAATATAATTTTAGTAGTAGTAGATCTAGTGGCAGAGTTGTAACAATGAGATTTCAAATCATTAAATGGATTGAACCTTTTAGATATCTTGGGTCAATAGTATAAAGTGATGGGGAAGTTATTAGTAGAATTCAAGTTGGATGGTTGAAGTGGAGGAATGCATCGGGCCTATTGTGTGATAGAAAAGTACAGTTTAGCTAAAAGGAAAATTTTATAAGATGGTGATAAGACCTGCAATGCAAAGAATGTTATCATTTAAAAGAGAAGCATAAAACTAAGTTAAGTGTTGTTGAGATAAGAATGCTTAGGTGGAGAGTGACATGACACCTAGAGACAATGCGAATCAAATGTATCCGTGAAAGAGTTAGTTTAGCTCCAGTGACAAACAAGATTAGAGAAAGTCGTCTTAGATGGTTTGGTCACATTAAATGTAGATCATCTAATGATCCGTTTAGGAGAGTAGATGTTTAAGATTCGACTTATAATAACAAAGATAGTGGTAGACCTAAAAAGACTTGAGCATGTTGTATAAAAAATGATTTTAATTTATTAAAATTAAATGAAAAAGGATTCATGTAGCCAACCACACTTAGTGTGGAAAAAACTTGTTGTTGCATGGTTTTGATTATCAAATTTTTAGCATATATTTAACACTACTAAGTACCATATATGATATACCAAATTAATTATAAAATATTTTTATAATTAGTTTGTGATTATTAATTATTGTTATATTTTTTAAATTTCTATGACAGATTTAATATAAAATGGGTTAAAATATGCAGCCGATCAAAATCTAGATCCAACTAGTTAGAGATTGTTTGGGATCACTTATGGTTTTTATTTTTATCTTTGCTTTTATTTTAAAAACATGTTTCACATGTTTTTATTTTTATTTTAAAACACAAATTAGCTTATTTTTTAAAATAATCGAAGCATCTAAAAGTTGTTTTGAGTGTTTTAAAAACGAATAAACATACTATATCCACAAACAAGTTATCATTTCAAATCAAAACATAAACAAAATAAAATAAAATAAAAAATCAAAATCAAAAGTGATCTCAAACAGCCCCTTCACATATTAATATTTTCATTCTCCTCAACTGCAAGAAACATAAATAAAACACCCAAACATTAAAATTATTGCAACCTACATTTAGAATAATAATGACCCTAATTGCATTATATTCCACATCTCTAGACACATCCAAGACCACGAAATCTTAATTGGAAGCAAAATAGCCCAAAATTGTATATTAAGCTTACCTGAGAACTCAATCCGCAATAGCAATAAAGCTCAACAACGAAAAAAAAAAAGAACAAAATATATTCTAGAAATAGAGCTCCGCATTTAAAATAATGTAATGCATGTACAATTAAGAAAAATATTAATTCATGTATTTTATAAATATTAAGTTGTTTATTACGTAGTAATGATATTAATTTAACTTTTAAGTCAATAAATATTAAAGTTGATTGATTTTAAATTAAATTTAATATTAATATGAATAGTCTACTTATTTGAAGATAATATATATGGGAAAAAATAGAAATTATAATTTGAGTTTTGGCATGATCAACAAACGAGTATATGAGAGGTGAAATATTGATTGACGAGAGTAAGGGAAAACCACTTTAAAAGAGTGGTAAGTAAAAGAAGTTGATTTCAAGAAGAAAGAGAAACAAACACGTCTTATGAATAAAGTGAGTAATTGCATTTTTGTTTGAACTAAATATATTTCTTTGAAGGATAAAAGTATTTTCTTATCTAATTAGAATCATATTTGAATTATTTGAATCATTATATGCATTAAAAATCCTATTATATGTTTAAATTCAATATAATAACATGAACAATGTAACGTGTTTTTTTCATTGTCCGTTCATTACCTTCACATTGAAAATATATTGTATGATTAATTTAATCAAATGAAAAATTTGTGCTAAGTAAATCATAGGAGTCACCCACTTATGGTACTTGCTAGGGGCACAATTATACAAATGCATGAAAATTAAAATAAAAAGACTAAAAATAAATAAAAATAAAAATGAAAATGATTGGACCTTACTTGGTACCATATTTTAGACAATAC